TCACCACCACCACCAAACCATTATTAGTTATTAGACAAACTACGTTAACCAAACCATTTTGAAAACAGTCAATGACAATCCCGAACCCGTATAAACGCAGAGGGAAAACGTTTAGTATTATTGTAGAGACTATCAAAAGGAAGGAGCTGTTGTTAGACTGGTCCAGAGGAAGACCGTTAAAAGACCAGAAACACTGAAGTAGACCATCAAGGGGACTGGCACCTCATTAATTCTATCAGGAAACATGGGAGGGGAGGGTATGCCAGGCATGGTTAGACAGGTACCATGTAAATATATGCGGCACCATGGTGAAATCAGGCACTCGATGTCAAAATAAAGAAATCAAGACAAATCATCGAATGCAAGACAAATTAACAATAAACTTGAACCCTATCCATACGCCGTGTTTCACTATTGTATCCATACGACGTGAGGAACTCTGTTCCACCACTTTCCATAGACGAAATTTACTCGTTAATCCGATCAATACGCGCTTAGCATAGCAGTCTGTCAAAATGATTTTTGGAGAATACTGAAAGTTTCAAAGAGATCTTCGTACTAGAAGTATTCTAAAATGTGAAGATAACAATCCCAGGGGTACAAAATGACCCCAGGGAGAACAGATAGGGTTAAGATGACCTATAACTCCACATGCCCCAAAATTGACAAGCATCTGATGGTACCACATCGTGACACATATCAACTTACATTGCCATGCATCTCTAAAATGCTAAAATGTAGTAGTAATGGGATACCAGTGAACTCGTCACACGATGAAGTCATCACATACCTCCAGTGATCTCGTCACAGTTATCTCGACACATAGGTTGGGGCAACTTCGGCCACGGGGCAACTTCGGCCACGGGGCAAATTCAATGTCGCCTCAACCTAGATTTGGCTTTGCGTATCATTTGACCCATGTGTCGTTGCACATTTGATTCTATCTAAAAATGAAATCTGTGCTTCCTAGGCTTCCACTTGTTTCTATTTTTAGTCAAAAAGCTCCAGAAAACTCTGTCTCTGCATACTTTCACTCTTAAAGCTGGTACAAATTCGACAGGGTGAAAAGGGGCAACTTCGACAGAGGGTAAAAAGGGGCAACTTCGACAGAGGGTAAAAAGGGGCAACTTCGACAGAGGGTAAAAAGGGGCAACTTCGACAGAGGGTAAAAAGGGGCAACTTCGACAGAGGGTAAAAAGGGGCAACTTCGACAGAGGGTAAAAAGGGGCAACTTCGACAGAGGGTGAAGTCAAAGTTTAGGCGTTCTTTCAGATTAAATAATTGTAAGGGGAAAAAAGCTCAGAAAAGAAGGAAGACAGACAACGGTAAATTTATAGAAAAGGCCCAAACCTATTTTTACGCCAGCTTTTTTTTACTCGACTTCCGTTTTTGTTTCCGACTGTGTACATAAATCTATAAATTTGCAAGGCATTAGGTCGGGACCACTTCTCCCGAAGAGTGCTGGCTGTTCACTGTTATTTGGATACTTTTTTCCGGTGAACTCACCACGCGTTTTTCAGCTGTGACGACTTCACCGTGTGACGAGTTCACTGGTTCCCGTAGTAATGTAGCCCATGTATCAAGGCCTCCATAGAATCTTGACATCTAGATCTAGGCTTGATTGAACAAGGACTCAACAAAGGCTTGACAAAGGTCAAAAGCTTTGACAACAACTACTAGAACTGACTGATAGATCTAATGGTTTCAATAAAATAAAGGAATACGTAGAAAATGGCCCTCTGTGGTCTTAGTTTCGTATATTTTCTGCAGGGTAACAACGTCAAAGACAGAATCACATAATATAAAGTAAAGTTTGAATTTTAAAACTACTCATTATCAATAATTACCTTTACAATTTGACTTTTGGTTGCAAGTAATCTGCAGACCGCTGTTGTCAGTTCAGACACACGCACAGCCATCACTCACACTGTCACCACCTGACAGTCACTACAACAGTCCACAGAACAACTACAATTTAGGCCTGTAACAAAAACAAAACAACGCGCATCATAGCCACAGTACATAGATCTATTCTAGATCTAGATCTAGATCTAGAAAAAGAATGTTCTGATCTCTATCACTCTAAACACTACATATAGATCTAGGCCTAGATTTAGATCTAAATCTAGATCTAGATTCTAGATCTAGAATCTACACATCTAGATATAGAGATCTATATATATATATATATATACATCTAGGCCCTACTAGATATATATCTAGATAGATCTAGATCTAGATCTAGATCTAGATCTAACACACGTCCGACTGCAATGATATAATGATATAAAAACAATCCAAGATGTGTTATTGAATTGACTATTGAAACATTTCTAGATCTAGATTTAGATCTATATCTAGATCTATTATTTTTCTAAATCACAGAAAGGTGATTGCCTAAAATGTGGTCAGCCCAGTTGAGTTGAGCTCAGTGACTGACTGATAGTGATAGCCCAGCCAAGACCGACAACTAACTAGATCTAGACCTCTAGATTCTAGATCTAGATTAGATCTAACAACGTTGCTCGGTCTGTGGTCTGTATCTAGATCTAGATTCTAGATCTAGACGTCTAGATCTAGACTCTAAGCCTACTTCTACTTCTAGATTAGATCTTGACTCTTGACTAGATCTACTGGACTGGACTAGACTCAAGCATCGAAAAAGAAAACTAAAATTGTGAGTTACGTTATAGTAGTTCCAGCGCTCTTCTTTTTTTTAAAAAATAACCCAACGTCATCGTCGTCATCGTTTCTGTCTGGCTCCCTGTCCGATCATTATTTAGCACCCAAAGGAACACACAGCCAGCAGTTCTAATGAATGCAAGCACCAAAATCAAAAGGAAAAAAAGGAGGGGAAAAAGTCCATCTTGGAAACTGACATCGCAGGCCTAGTGTAAAAAAGAAGAGTTAACGGTTCGCTGTAACCTTCGCCCCTCGATATAATTAATAATGATATCAATATATAACATGGTATATATTATATGATAATTTCAGTCTTTCAAAAGTAAACACCAACCTTTGGACCGAGCGAGCATTTCATGACAAATCAGTATTTTGTTTTATCTTTTCACCTTTGCTTGTGACTGTGACTACTGTGAGATTACAACTAAAATTTACCATTGCAAAAAGGGAGTGTATACAGACCAAGGAGATTAAAAGTAATGGAGGATGCTCTGTACTCTGTGGGCGGCACCGCACGCCTGATAGGAGCCCCAGAGAGTATTTAAAATTTTATATTTTTGTGTCTCTGGGAGCCCTCTCTTGCGGCGGAACTGTGGTCTACCTGCGCTGCGCTTACGCACTGAAATCTAGATAAGAAAGAAGGTTTTATTCCGAGGCCCTTGAGATTAGGCAAGTCAATTAGTAAAAATGCCTTGCACCTGTGTTGTATTTAAGTGTAAGAACCGATATGATGCTGTAGTGGACCGAAGTTTTCACAGTTAAGTTGTTTTCCTTTCAAAAAAATTGAATAAAAGTGTTTTTATGCCCTCAGCAACACAATTTAGATCATTAACATTCATAAGAGGCTGGCTCCGGCGCTACCTGCCAAGGCCAACCCAGGCTGAAAGGGATACAACACCCCAGCAGAAAGACCGAGATACTCAATTTTTTAAAAGTATTCTTATACTTTACTTTACTTTACTTTTTTCTTCCGCTTGTACCCTGGGGTGTCGCGGGGAGACACAGGTGTCTGTCTGCAGCAAGTCGTGTGGCCTGTAGGAGGGACATCCCATGATCTTTAAGGGTGTCTGCCACAGATTCACTCCATCGTCGCCTTGGTCTTCCTCTGGCTCTCCATCCAGAATAGTTAATGTTGTATATGCTCTCAGAGCTGGATGGTTTGAGGGCATCCGCGTGAGGTGTCCGAACCACTTGACCTTTTGTTTTTCAATTTGTGGTAGGACTGGTGTTGCTCCCACGGTGTCCCTTATGACTTCATTTTTTATTTTGTCTCTTCTTGTTTTGTTGACCGCTCTTCTTAAGCATTTCATCTCGCATGTGACCAGTTTCCTCTCTAGGGCTTTTGTTAGAGTCCATGTCTGGCACTGATATGTGAGCGTTGGAAGGAAAATGGCGTTGATGAGCTTCGCCTTGGTGCTCATGGGAATATTGGGATGTTTCAGGAGAGGGCCCAGTTGGTAGCTGACTGCGTTGGCTCTCTGGCATCTAGTCTCAATCTCTCGATCTAGTTTTCCATTTTCTGTGAAAATGCTGCCCAAGTATTTGAATTCTCTGCTTTGTTTTATTTGGGATCCATTGATGTTGATATCCACTTTACCTGGTCTCCTGCTAATTGTCATGACTTCGGTCTTGCTTATACTGATCTTCATGTCATATTTTTCGCAGCTCGCATTTAGTTGGTTTATATGCTCCTGTAGCTGAGTCTTGTTGTTAATCATTGCCAGGTCATCTGCAAACATGAGTTCGTTGAAAGCCTCTGGGTCTGGATTGGCCTCTTTTGTTATCTGGTCCATGTAGATCACGAAGAGCAGAGGGGAGAGATTGCAGCCCTGTCTCACTCCGGATGTTACTGGAAACCAGTCCGATGTTCCACTGGTAGTTCGGACAGCGCTTCTGCTGTTGGCATAGATAGCCCTGATGCAAGGAGCTTAGAACTAATGGAGCCCCCTCTCTCTCTTCGCGGCGCCACGAGCTGTACGCCGCGTTGGGGATCAAATATGGCCACCGAGTGTGGGCTAAATCACGAACTGTGGCGTTTCATTTTATAGAATTTTATCGGGCTGGGCCACGTTGTGGGGGTGGGCGGGGTGGGGGAATGCACGCAAGGAAGAGGGGATGGGGCTGGGATGAAAGAGGAGGGGCGGGCCTTGGGAAGGGACGAAGGAGAATGGGAAAAATTAAATAAGAGAGAGAGAGAGAGAGAGAGAGAGACAGAGAGAGAGAGAGAGACAGACAGACAGACAGACAGACAGACAGACAGACAGACAGACAGACAGACAGACAGACAGACAGACAGACAGACAGACAGACAGACAGACAGACAGACAGACAGACAGAGAGAGAGAGAGAGAGAGAGAGAGAGAGAGAGAGAGATAGTGATCAACTGACGGGCTGACGGATAATGACAGGGAGAAAAAATGATGTGTGTGATACGGACTGTTCAATTCTTTAAGAGTTTTATGTTATAATCTAGTTTAAAAATCAAAAAGATGTGTAAAATAAGAAGAAAACTTGTCCGAGTAACATAAAATTATCAAACATACCAAATTAAAAAGATAATCTTTCAAGATGCTAAAATATTTAATTATAAGAAATGGATGAAAATATACTTTTGAACTGATATATGATTGCATGATTCTAGGCGTGTGCCATAACTAACTTTATGTGTAAGGAATAGCGGACACAAAAGAGGGTCGATGTTTGCTTTATCTAATTGCTAACAGTATGCCTTGATCTATAAATAATATTATCGATCACAATAATTTTGTTTCCTGGTTTTCACAAAGTGGAGCGCACAATGATTTCAAATATTCCAAAAAGAAAGAGATAACAGCACCCTTGGAGGTGTGATCGCATGCATAAGCGTGGATAACCTTTGAAGAGTTTTTTTTTTTTTTCTTTCAGTAAAGTATGATATGGAGAGCAGCGTTTTTAGTCCCTTATTACACTCCAGAGGGGGATAATTTGTCTTAGTGACGACTCTTGTGTAGTAAAATTTGTTGTTGCTTTGTTTGGTATATTTTTTAACAGCAGAATCTTAAGTGAACCGGAATTATTGATTGTGGGATCTTAGGTGAAGACTACAACAATAGAATTAAACCGAGTATAGTTCTATCTAACAAGACTCAAACTCTTATCCACCCCACCCTACCTTCTCCCCTCATCTGATATGGTTTGGTGTTTCTTTAACAGAAAATATTCATCATTATTGTTGTTGAATATTGATTTCATGTTCTAATGGAGCCTCTAGATATCTACATTTAGACTACAGTAGCATCTAATTTGCACACACAAAGGAAAGCAATATCTTTAATTGAAGTGTATAATATGTATATACATACACACACATAATAATTATATATATATACTCATAATAATTATATATATTTATGAATAAGAATACTTTTAAAAAATTGAGTATCTCAGTCTTTCTGCTGGGGTGTTGTATCCCTTTCAGCCTGGGTTGGCATTGGCATGTAACGCCGGGGCCAGCCTCTTATGAATTAATGATCTAAATTGTGTTGCTGGGGGCATAGAAACACTTTCATTTTAATTTTTTAAAAGGGAAACAACTTAACTGTGAAAACTTCGGTCCACTGCAGCGCCATATCGGTTCTTACACTTAAATACAACACAGGTGCAAGGCATTTTTACTAATTGACTTGCCTAACCTGAAGGACCTCGGAATAGAACCTTCTTTCTTATCTAGATTTCAGTGCGTAAGTCGAGCAATCGCGCAGCGCAGGTAGCCCACGGTTCCGCCGCGAGAGAGGGCTCCTATCAGGCGTGCGGTGCCGCCCACAGAGCATCCTCCATTACTTTTAATCTCCTTGCCCTGATGTTGTCTAGCAGTTGTCCTTTGATGTCGTACTACTCTAAGATCTTCCATAGCTTGTTTCTATTTACTCGATCAAAGGCTTTTTCTTGATCCACAAATACGAGGTGGAGATCTTTGTCGTATTCCAAAGCCCTCTCACACAGTTGTCGGAGTGCCAAGATTGCATCAGTGCACCCTCTTCCTTTTCTAAAGCCAAATTGGGCGTCACTGAGAAGATGTTCGGTTTTTGCGCGAGTACGTCGCTCTAGGATTTTTGCATACATTTTCCCCACATGGCTGAGAAGAGATATGCCTCTATAGGTGCTCCCT